TTCAAACCATCCTTCAGATAGCTGAAGGCTGCTATTAAATCCCCTTTCTGTCTTTTCTTCTCTAAACTAAATAAGTCCAGTTTCTTCTGCCTCTCCTCAGAAGTCATGTGCCCCAGCCCCCTCATCATTTTTTTGCTTTCCACTGAACTTTAATTTGTCTACATCCTTTCTGTAGTAGGGGGCCCAGAACTGAACACAGTACTCCAGATGTGGCCTCACCAGTGCTGAATAAAGGGGAAGAATCACTTGCCTTGCAATACTTCTACCAATGAAGTCCAGTATGCCATTAGCCTTCTTGGCAACAAGGGCACACTTTTGGCTCATATTCAGCTTATTGTCCACTGTAACCTCCAGGTCCTTTTCTAAAGAGTTGTTGCTTAGCCAGTCAGCCCCCAGGCTGCACTTGTGCATGGGATTGTTTCATCATAAGTGCAGGGCTTTGCACTTGTCCTTAATGAACATCATGAGATTTCTTTTGGTCCAATCCTGCAATTTGTCTAGGTTTCTCTGAATCCTAGCCCTGCCCTCTAGCATATCTACTACTTTCCCCAACTTGATGTCATCTTCAAACTTGCTTAGGGTGTACTGTATGCCATTTTCCAAGTCATTGATGAAGATACTGAACAAAACTGGTCCAAGGACCAAACCCTGGGGCACTCCACTTGATACTGGCTGCCAACTAGATATTGAGCCATTGATTACTACTCTCTGACCCCAATGCTCAACCCAGTTTTCTGTCTACCTTACAGTCCATTCATCCACCCCATACTTCCTTTGCTTGCCTACAAGAATGCTGTGGGAGACCATATCAAAAGCCTTGCTAAAATAAAGGTATAAAACATCCACTGGGCTCCCCACATCCACAGAGCCAGTCATCTTATCATAGAAGGCGATCAGGTTGGTCAGGCATGACTTGCTTTTGGTGAATCCATGTTGACTGTTCCTAATCTTTTTCTCCAAATGCTTGTCAGGAATGGGTTACTTGAGGAATGGGTTACTTGATTCCTCTTATGCAGAAGTTATGTACCTATGTCCCAAAGTCTCATTTAGGTGCTACAGGACCAGTATGGATTTCAAGCTTTTTCTGTGTCCTGAATTTGGAACACAGCACAATGCATGGTAAACATTACCTAAGACAAGGCTGTCAAACTTCTAAGGAGCCAGGGGAATACCCCTCATCAGCCCTTGAATACATGCCACCCAGGTGCCCTTCTATTGCACTATGCACATATGCACCCAGATTCATCCTCAGCTGCCTAGCTGCAGTCTCCCCTGACACCACAGGCTGTGTTGTGCTGCACTACAACTTGGGTGGGGGCAGGAAGTGGAAGCTGGAAGAGGGACTGGCATTCCAGAGACCACAGCTGCTGCTGCAATTTAAGCAATGGGGGGCAAGGAGAGTGGCAGCTGGATGGGAGGCCAGGGGCTGGAAATTATCCTCTTGTGGGTGGCCCATGGCCTCCAGTTGGATAGTTGGACATCCCTGTACAAATACATTTGTGCCATACTCTGTACCAGAAAAAATAAAGATGATTATCCTTTATTCACCATGCCAATTAGTCCCGCCCTTTCCTTATGTTATTGTTTAGTTCTCTACCTTCTGTATATAATGCATTCCACAGATCTATCACAAAAGTCTTCAACTTTCAACAGGCCTGAAAGGTTGCATTTTTTTTAAATGGATGGAATAGAAAGGTTGGTGGTCAAAGACCTGGGAAGACCAATTAAGATTTATCTTGGAAGCCAGCTGCCATGCTTTTTGCAAAAATGATTGGCAGACAGCTGCTAAAACTTCTTCAGTTTTCAAGGAATAAGTTGTATTTAAAACATGCCCTTGCTTTGCATTAATGACATTTAATTTTATCTTAAAAATGCTTTAGAAGTTAGGGATCTGAAACCATGTTTTTTTAGCACAATAAATTTTTTTTTAAAAAACATCCTGTAATGTATAGGGCTGGGGTAGGAAACCCCTCCCACACATACAAGGTATGGTATATGATAGCATTTGCTTGGCATGTGCACCTTGGGGCAGACACCGGAGGTCCAACAAGGGGCCTGATCTTTGTTGTGGTAGTGCAACCCAGGCCCCTTCCCTACCATCCACCTCAAGGCACATGTGCATCCACCACTGGCAACACGCCAGGCCAGTGCTCCACAGACCCTGGCACAGCTTTCCTGTTGCTTGCTGTGAGCAGCCCAGGCTCTGTGGTGGGCAGCAGGAACAGGCTCAGAGCCTGGGCTGGATGTGACAGGCAGCCAGGAGCCTGAAAGCAGCTACACTGGGGACAGTGACCCAGCCCAGCTCATTGTTGGTGGTGGGTGCACATGCACTTTGAGATGGATGACAGGAAACAGGCCAAGGCTGTACTTCCACAAGGATCAGGCCCCTTGTGGCTCTCCCACTATCCACCTCTAGCACACCAACATCTTACAAGTCAAGGTTGTGGGTGTTTTTGGCACTGTGCCCAAAAACATTGCTGACCCTTGGTCTAGGACATTATACATTGTCCAAACTATTGGCCAACTATGTTGCAGAATCCTTCAGTGGTGACACTATCATTTGAATGAGAATTCAAGCTTTCAAACCATTACAAGATTCTTTCCCTAGCAGATACATTGCTCTGCTAACCAGCTGCCAAAAGTACACTGAGTGCCAGGTTTCTCTTCATGCATGAGATCAATTAAATAGTATGAACTATATATAAGAATACTTTAGAGATCTAGTCATCTTCACTGGATGCAAGCTAGTAGAACAGTTTAAAATATTCCATACTTTTTCTGGACATCAACATTTAGCTGCTAAACTGCAAGGTGCTGATTTTTTCCTTTTTTACTATCTTTAGGGACCTCTTTAGATCTGGGATGGGCAAAGTCTCGCCCGCAGGCCAGATTAAGCCCACAGCAGACTCCGTTTCCCAACAGTCCCTACCCGCATTGCTGCAGAAAGTTTCCATGGAGACCCCAGAAGCGGCGGTAATGTGACAGTGTGGGGTCAACATTTCCATGGAGACTAGGCACAGCAGCACTGGCAGGGTGCACAGCTAGGTGCGGAGTTGTTTTGGGGCTGGGATCTTGTGGCATTGACAGTGTGGTTTGGAGCTGGGGCAGAGCTGTGATCTGCTGCCCGCATATCCCAGGCAGGAGAGTGCAGGCAAGGGATCGTGGCTCTGCCCTGGCTCCAGATCACACTGTGACAGCTGGAAGACCCCAGTCCCAGCCCTGGAGCAGCTCCCCACCCAGCCATGCACCCTGCCAGTGCCACTGGGGCCAGTCTCCATGGCAACCCTGGCCCTGCACTGTCATGGCCCTGCCGCTGCTGGGGTCTCCATGGAAACTGGTCTCAGAAATGCAAGCAGGGGTTGCTGGGAAAAGGAGTCCACTGTGGGCCTGATCCATCATTTTGCCCATCCCTGCTTTAGACATTCAGATAAAGGCATAATTGTGGCACTACACATGCATTGCATGAGGCATGATTGTGGCATCTAGCTTTAGAGTCAACCACACCTTACTGCTGGTGTAGGGGGATCCCATGCTCCCCCTGTCAAGTAGCAAGCTTCCACAGCTGCGAGCTCCACAGTTGATGGTACTCCCAGCCACACCTCCGCCCTATGCTTTAATTGCATCTTAAGTGTAATGTATAATGAGGCCTAGGTTAGAGAGCACTCAGCACCTCATATAGACCAGAACCCTATGAAATATACTTCTAAGTAGTTCTATATATAAATCAAGGAGAATTAAGTGCCTACTACTTGAAAAAGGGAATGCAAAACACTCATTTCTGTATTAATGCTCACCTAATTCTTCATTAGTATGCTGAATTGATTCTTGCTAAGAAATGCATTTGCAAAGGGTGAATTAGTAAAGATTCAATTTGTGAATGAAATAAGTTTTGATTATTTCTACTCTTATCATTCATCAGTGCAGGTTTTTTGCCCAGTATTTAGTAATTATTCTTTTAGGCATTCTTATCACTTAATTCTAGGTTCAGTTTTGTCTTTCCTTCACCATGTCTGCCTTCCATTAACATCTGCTGTAAGGACATGGACTCCTCTTTTTTACATCATTTTTAACTTCTGGTTTACTGCAATTAGTTTTTTGTTTGTTTTTTTAAATTCTACTACAAATTCCTTGGGGACGCAGAACTGACATTGCTTCTTTCCTGTACACTGGGAATGTTATGCTCTTAATTCTGTCTCAAAGCTGTGTTCCAACTTTTCTTGCTATAATAATATTCCCCATTAAAAAAAGAGCAGGACTTAAGAAGTAAACTTAATTTTCTAAGTATAATTACAGCTTTTATTATTTTTTTTAGTGGACTTGTCCTGATATTTCTATTAACTCCATTTGTTACTTCTCTAGGGTGTAGTCACAAGATAGACATCTCCTTTTCTTTCTGTGGGCATGACTGAACCTAATTTTTTGAGATACTCCTGCTTTTTGTCCTTTGAAGATTTCATGCTTTGAAATCTTGGAAGCAGGGCCATCTCTGGGGGTGGGGGCGAATTGGGGCAACTGTCCCAGGCCCTGCATTTTGATTGGAGGGCCCTGTGTAGCCAGGCGGAGAGGTGGTG